GTCCCGAATAACATCTCTAATTCAAACCATATATTACCAATTCCATTGATCATAATAATAATTCATCCATAGAATAAGAAAATTAATTAAGCATATAACATCCCGACAAATAAACAAACCAAACACACCATCATGAACTTGATGATTCCACGAGTTTTAATGCCGGTGAAAATTTCCATAGCTAAATATCTATGAAATTAAAATACTCCTTATCAATGTTGTTATGGAATATAATTTTGTAACAAGTGGTGTCACAAATTAGCTAGGCTTTTTGTTCCATAGCAAAACAAGCAAACGAAATCAAATTCCATAGTAGAATTCACTAGCAAATACCTACGACTGGTACTTCCACAGCAAAGCAACTATGGAATTGGTTTATGTCAAAAATTCCGTTGCATAGTAACCACGATAATTAATTCCATAGCAGCAATACAACGGAAAATGATTTCATAACAAATTTCTTTGGATTTCTACGAATTTTTTTCCATAGAAATATTAGTAGCATAATAACGGACATGGAGTTAGTAGCATTTTCCCTAGCAAGTCTCATTCTCGCTACCAGAAATAAAATTCGTAGACAATGTGGTAGAAATCTTGCTATGGAACGACATTCCATAGCACGATTCATTGCAGATTCACAAAGAAAATACGTTCCATAGCGACCTTCCCTAGCAAAATCACGTTTTTCTTGTAGTGATCCATGGAAGGGACCAAAATCAACCAAAAATGAACTCAAACTTGAAATAAGAAGATCAAATCTTGATGTATGAGCTTTATACCTTCAATAAATTAGAAAATAAAAGAGGGTGATGGATCCAAACGAGCTCCTTGTTTCCTTGTACCAATATGAATTTCTTCTTTCTTCAAGTTGCACCAAAATCCAAGAACAGACTCTTCAATCAAGCAAACAAGCTCTCAATCATGCATGGAGGCTAGGGGTTTGAAATGAGAAAATGAAGGTTGGAGAAGACCTAATCCATGAATTAAGATGCTTAAATATGAGAGAAACCCTCAAAACCAAAGGCTTAGGCTACCATAGCCACGATGTCATGGCACACTACCTGCCATGACATGGTGTCCAATAAAACACGCGTTGCTCGGATGCCATGTTATGTCGTTGAATTCCATACACTATGTTGTGGAAATTTTTTTCCTTAAAAAAAAAAAGCATACTTTACTCCTTTAGGTCACTAATTGGTCCATTTTGGAAAACGGGTGTTACACTTTGTTTTCAACATCCACCTCTTCTAGAACACCTCTAATGCAACGCTAACCTCCATTAAAGTGTTTGTAACTCGTCCTCTATCCTAAATCCATTTTTGTACTCTTTTATTGGTCTTTTGGTGATCTTGATTAGAAGAAACAAGGAAGCTTGTTCAAAAAAACTTTACATTTAGAGTATTCAATTCACTCACTCTATCTCTCTCTCTCTCTCTCTCTTTCTCTCACACACACATACTCTCTCTCTAGTTTTGGACCTTGTTAAACCTTAAATATCTAAGATTTATTGTGTTTCATCATTATATTTGTGAATATTTGGTTTTTTGGTCCATTTTAACGAATTTTGGTCCATCTGTGGCATGTTCCATGGATTTTGAAGAACTCCATGTGTTTTGGTTCATGTTTAAAGTTCAGATCTAGTGACTTGGTGGAGTAAAGAGTGTATATAAGAACTCTCTTGACTCCATGCGTGAAGAAAATGGGTTTTGGACATTTCTTAGCTTAAGGTTTTAGATCTTGAAAGCTTGTGGTATTATTATGGATAAAATTAGAAACTTCATCCATTTAAACATCATGTTGATTCACATCTAAAAGTTGGAGACTTGGACTTAATGGATTAAGTTAAGAAAGATCCATTCTTCTTTGAGACTTAAAGATTAGATCTTGGTTATTTGGACTAACCTAATGGATAAAGTTGAAAACTTTATCCATTAGGAAGCTACTAAGTACCAGATTTGAAAAGCTAGAGGTTTAACTTAATTGAATAAGTCAAAATCCATTTTGGAAAAAGGATGGACGTGATGCACTTGGTTAACCAGGAGTTAAATTTTTTACCATTGACTTTTGACCATTTGACATTTGGTCAAACTTGGGTAGAATTGAGTATTTGTATAAGGATTGGTACACTTGTCATTAGGTGGCTTATGTTAGTTGTTTTTTATGATAGGATTGATGGTGGGCTTCTATTATTTAGCTCAAGTAAGTATCATGAATGTATTACTTATATCATGTGTTGTATGTGAGTCGTTGATGTTGCTAATGACTCAGGCTTTCTGATAACCCTAATATGCAGTATTTGAGTCGCTGATGACTCGGGGTTACTAATAACCCATAGTTGTTATATATAGTTAGTTATGTTGTGTTGTATGTGATACTTTAGGAAACTCACTAAGTGTTGACTTACATTTATGGATTAAATGTTTTCATGTACTTTATTAGTTAATGGGAATGCAAAGGAGTGACTGTACACACAGATCAGTGGTTTTATGATTTGAGAGTCTGTGATACTTTCATTATAACTCTAATTTATGGATTTCAGTTTATAAACAAATAGTTTGCTTTGAATGAACCTTTATAAAAATGAAGGTTTCTGCTAGTTTAAAAATGAAAATTTTATTTTGAAAATTTGAATGTTACATATGAAGCCTAAATTGCTTCCACTGGGAAGAGGGCAATTGACCAAATGAATATAAAGGCCAATACAATGATGGTTATCCATTCATCATACTTGAAGCTTGGCTCACGGGATTTGTGAATATGGCATGCATTCTTTAGTTATGTTGGTTCCCTGAATGACATAAATGCTCTTAACATGTCTTTGATATTCGACGACATGTATAATGGGACTGCACCAGATGTTTTATTTGTTGTGCATGGAACGTATTACATGTGCGGGTATTATTTTGTAGATGGGATCTATCCAGAGCGTTCTTGTTTTGTGAAGAAATTATCTTGTCCTAATGATCGAAATAGGTTAAAGTTTAAGAGAGAGATCTTGATAAGGCAAGAAAATATGTTGAACGAGCTTTTTGCACTTTTAAAAAAACATTGGCATGAACTGAAATATCCTAAAGTTTTTGTTGAAGAGAAGAAAATGAGTGAAATGGTGTATACTTGTATCATATTGCATAATATGATTCTCGAAGATGAAGGAAATGCAATAAGATTATAGCGAAAGCGAGATCTTTTAACCGACACAAATATTTGAGGGTTAACACGAATAGTACTTAGTATGAAGATAAATAATTCATGATGGTGAGCTCCATCATGATCCTCGCAGAGACTTGACAAAATATATTTCCGATGAAGATGTCATTTAGTTTGTAGTAGTTATGATGGTTTAAGTTTTTATTTTTTTTAGTGTTTAACTAGTTATGTTTGTACGTTTTTCCTTCATTTTGAAGTATGTAAAGTTGTAAGAATTTAAGTTTTTTAATTATTATTATTATTTAAGTTTGAACAATTAAAAATTATTTAAAATAATGTTAAATTTAAGGGGGTGTTTGACTTAACTTTTTGAGAGGTAAAAATCTTTTTTTGAAAAGTTGCAAAAAATCAGGTTTTTCTGATTTTTTCAAAAATGAAGTTTTTTTTATATCCAAAATTCAAAAGTAACTTTTAAAATGTTTTTACTAAATATCTTTTACCTTTTATCTTTTCATAAGGATTTTTGTCTCTCAAAAAATAAACTAATTTTCACCCCCTAAATTGATTTTAAAAAAAAATGGCAACCCACCCTCCTAAAAGGTACGGAAAAAAATGAAGTAACGTCTACGAGACATCACTTTTAGTGTAACAATAATAACATCACTCCTAACCTAATACTAATGTTGATACCGTAATATATAGTTGCTACTATAAAATGGTAAGTTGCATTATCTGCACCATCAACTTATATACCTATAAATTGTAAATGTAAATTCATTTTACAAACATCACTCGCAAGAATACGATTACACTATTACGATGAGTATTACTAGTAAAGTATGATTTACTTCTTGTGTTTATTTGTTGGAAAAAACATTTTCATCTCTAATCGGTAATGTAGATTTAAGGGCTTGGTGGTCCTTTCCTTATTGGATTATATGGTTGTAAGTAGGAACTATTAGTTGACCCGATAAAATCGGACCGGACTAGAAAAACTCGGAACCGAGGTATTTAGTTTGGTTCTCGATTCTCGATTTCCCACTAAATCGGTTCTCGTTTCTTTGATCTTCGGGTCGGGTCCGAAACCGAACAATTCCTACATAGCATACTTACTTGTAGAACCGAACCGGAACCAAGATATTCAGTTCAGTTCCAAGTTTCTCATTTCCCACTAAATCGATTCTCGGTTTTTTTATTTTCGGTTGTCGATCTGGAGCTAATTTAAAAAGGTGTCTTTACGTTGTCATTTTAGTGGATTCCTAAAAGAAACATACTCCAAATTTAATTCTAGATGGTCCAAATTTGTTATAGATGGGTCCAAATTTGAACAAGGATAAAATGATATAAATTAAAGTTGATTGGTCTCAAATTTATGGTTTACGGGTGGGTCAACTTAAATAAGTTTGTGAAAAGAATTTTAATATTGTACAATGTTTTGAGATTTTGGGGATGTTAAATTGGTGGTAGATATCAACGAAAAACCTTAACCAAAACTCTATATACATGGACAATATATTTAAAATATTTTTTATACGGTGAATTTTAGTTGGTTAGGTTGGATTCAAAGTCGATATTATATTACTGGTTTGGTTTAATGAAATTTCCAAACATCCCATTAAACTACATATTTATCATGGATGCTCTTCAAATTTAGTTAGAAACATATAACTCTATTTTAGCTTTAGAAAGATCGTACATCAAACTTTAGTCAAATATTTTTGGCTATTCTAATCTATAAGACACCACAATATTATCCCTCCTTTAGAAATTTATTTTTCACAATATGCAAAAGGGGTAGAAAAAAGAAAATAAAAGCCTATGATAGTAATAGACTATTAACTTTACGTAAAGGGTTAAAACCTCCATGCTGACGTGGCAACGAGGGGCCTATCATGCCAGCACAACACCATCTCCGCTTGCCGTTTCACCACGTGGAACCCCCTGACTTGTACCCTCCTCAGTAAACACTCCGCTTGAAAGTCAGCGAACTGACTCAGCCCCACCGGCCTCATGCCGGCCCTACTGAACGCCTCCCTCCACGACGGCACATGACGACCCGACGCCTCCACCGCCGCAGTTATCTTCGGCAGCAGCACAAACATCTCAATTTTCCTGATCCAGTCACTCCCTCCGCCACCACCAATGTTCGCCGCCTCTAACGATTCTAGCAGCGTTGAGTAGAATTCTAGCCCGTCGATTACCGTTTGACGGAAGAACGACGTTTCGCTTCCCATCAGTCCTTCGCCGTCGACGAAAACGATAACATGTGGCGAAACTCTCCGGAGATCGTTGATGAAACCGGCGCCTATACGGTGGAAGACCGTTGACGAGAGGAGAACTGCCGTCTTCTCTCCCTCCATGAACTTAATCGCTTTGAACGACAAGTACTCGAAAGTTCGAAACGACACGAAATCTATATCGAATCGGAGTTTTAGACCACGAGCGAACTGCCAGAGGTTATCTCTGATCAATTTTGATTCCATTTCGTACTCCTCCGGAATAATAGCTGTGATTCTGACAGCCGGTGAATGAACCTTTCGACCTTCTGCCTTCTCCGCGATCTCTTTCATGAACGACGCCCAGTGTCCGCCCAAGCCGATGTCAAAATCGATGACGTGCACGATCATCGCACCGTCCACCGCCTCCAGCATCGCCTGGTTCGCGGTGAAGTCAGAGAACATCGGAATCGGCGAAACGTTTGAAAACGTCTTGTACGCTTCAATCGATTGTACAATCTCTGACGACGAAGAAGATTGAGTCATCCGAGTTGGCCCGGTGAGTAGAGATTGAAGTGCTTCTTTGAAGTAAAAAGCAGCTCTCTGAAGCGCTTTTCCGGTAGGTGCACGGAGGCGCTGATTGAGTCGCGTCATTATCACTTGAGCTAGTTGGATAGAACGAGTTTCGAAGCACTCAGCGATCCGGATCAACTCATCCACGAAATCAAACCCGTTTCCATTGTTATTACTGTTATCGTCATCATCCTGACTCATAAAATCAAGCCCGTTAAGATTCGGATTCAAGTTTTCGAAATCCGAGTGAAAGAACAGAGCCGTAGCCGGAGCAGCCGATTCGGTGTGTATCGGAGGCAGCTCAGGAAGATCAAGAGGGTAAGCAGATTTAGTAGAATCATCATGAAGACCCAATTCCTTCATGAGAGAATCCCATTCTTCAAACTGATGGATCATTCCATGTTCAATATTATCCAACGGCAACTGTTCCTCCTCCGACGAAAACACAACAATATTATGATCAACCGAATTGAACTCCGACGCCTTACCAGTAATCGGACTAGGTGGACTCCGTCGCACGTCGAGCACCGATTTCGGTTCGTATCGATTACTTCCAATACCACCACCGGCAACTTGCTGCTTGACGTTGCTAGAATTAAGATTGTTTTGCGATGAAGCAAAGGGCAATTTCATTCCTCAAACGTAATGCAGGTGCGTAAAATTTCCACTCCTCTTCTTAATTGAATTTTCAAGAGGTTTTATAATTGAATATGAAGAAAGGGGTATTGTGGGTAAAGGGGATTTCCTGAGGTGATGATTATGAGCTTTTGTAACCGGTAAAAGTGGTGGTGGTGGGGTATGGACGGCCATGGTTAATGGACATGAGGGACACTGAATTGACAACACAGGGTTGAGCAGAGGAGTCAGAAGATTGATTGATTAAGCCATATCACCGAAGCTTCTTCCTCAAGATTTTTTATAAAAATCAAACAACTTTTGCTTTAAAGTGTTGCCAAAACCCAGTAGATTTACAACTTTCAATTCACTTCGTACAAGTTAATAAAGCTATCTGTCTTGTCTTTGACAATTTTAAATCTGTCATAAGCTAGTATACCTTTGCCTTTTGTGGATTCTTTTTGTTTGCCTCTTTTTAGAGTTAAGTGGGTTGACCTCCTACTCCAAGCTCCAAATTTCAATCACTTTTTAAACCTAAACGTGAAATTATGTTGTTTCGTATACAATGGATTTAGTTAGTGTTACAATCTTATAGTTAAACGTGTCTGAATTCGAGTAATACTCTAATAATTACTCTAATATTCACCATCTATAGTATAATTTTTTTTTTAATATTATGTATAATCATAACAAATCAAATATGCATGTTAATATGAAAATAATAGTATATGTCACCTTCGGCCAACCCATAGACATACTTAAACTTGGGAGCTATTCTATCGATTCACATCTTCTTACATTTGAATCATTCTTACATGATGGTGCCTAATAAGTAGAATTTTATGGTCATCAAGGTTTAGGATGATCTTTTGGTTTAGAACGCATATTCTATAATATATTATTATATTAATTGATGTGATTCATAAAATGATTTGTGGTGGCTTTCGAGAAGGAAACTAGGTGTGTTCGAGACATGTCATCAAAAGAAAAGAGTTTTCCATATTTCGATGGAGGAGTAAGCTCTAACGATCAAAGTAGGGTAGATTGGAGGTGAAAATGTACATCAAACAAGAGTGTAATGAGAGTAGTAGTTTACGTTACCTGTTATCTACTATATCTCTTGCTATTCTTCGATTAGGTATAAATTTATCCTTAAATCATGTCAGGTCTAGTCTTTATCAAACTCTACTACCATGGAGAAACTAGGATCTCTTCAAGTGAGAGTATGGCTTCAATTTTATATGTCCAATTGAAGTGTGTTTCTTAGGTTCCTATTCTGATGGTTGTCGTATTCTCCCACAAAACACGAAGAGGGTCGACCACTCGTCTTCTTGTAGGTTGGCATAGTCGCCTCTTTAGTATTATTATCTTGATCTTGTTGGTTACCTTGTTCTAACCATTAAATTGGGGATAAGCCACTGAGGTGAAACATTATTGAATGTGCGGGATAATGCACTTGTTGGCACCACTTGATGTGTCACTAGGTGGTCCGTCTTCTATTGGGTAAGCTAGATGTATAAGTTCTCGATTGCCAATTGATATGGAAACACAAACAATTCTTAAGTCGATGACCGGGAGGGATTTCGGGTCACGCTTCGATGATAAAGTCACTAAAGACTTTAGGATATTATGGGAAGTAAAAAGTGTATTGAATCGCTTTGGATATTGATTGTTACGTACCTTGTGAAGGTGGTTTAGGTACCTATTTATAGTCGTGACAAAAAGATGACGATTTCTTCTTGTACCGAGCAGGTTCACCATCTTGTCGTATTTATGGATGGGTGCCCACAGGTACATCTTAATGTACTTAGTAGCTATTAAACAACTGTTCCTCATAAGTGTAAGGATCTGTCAATCATCTATTATCATACAGACTGTATTTCTTTGACTTCCCATGTTCTTTGGTACTGTAGTGACGACATATTGTACTTTAGTTGTTATTCCCCCACTGTTCTATACTTATTGATGGTTTGGTACTTATCCGTGATTCAGTACTTGTCCATGGTCTGGTACTTATCCATGGTTCGGTACTTCTGAAGGTATATGCATAGTTTTGGGCGCTATACCCTATTATCTTTCATTAGGTTTTTCTGCAAATTGACAATTATTGTTAGTTATATTGTTGCCTAACTTGGTTACAGGGCCGATCCAAAGGTTTCTTATGCCCCAGGAAAAGAAAAATTATAATGCCATTGGCCAATGCTTTGACAGTACAGGTTAAACAAGTTAATATGCCATATAAATTTCTAAAGCAAAACACTCAAGTGAAGTTTGCTTGAATTCATAGGAATTGGAATTGTATTCCATTAAAAATCATGCTTAGTTCAAAATAATTCAGGAATTGAATTAGCTTTAAAATTCCTAAAAAAAACCTAACCAAGTGAAATTAACTTTCCATCCACCAAGTAAGCGAATTGAATTCTATTACTTTTTATTTATAAAATGCTAAAATACCATTATAAACTCTAGATTTATTTGAGGTTTTTTTTTTAATTTTTATCTCTCTCAAGTTTTTTCACTCAATCGATCCTTCTTCAAGTTTCTAACCGGATGTTGTACTTCATCTCCTCTTCTGCAACCGACTATTTACTATTTAGACAAATGAAAAAAAATGATCTGGATCAATGATGAAATTCCCATTCCCTGCAGGGATTAAACAAAGCTTGATCACAGAAGAAAAAAACATGAAATCAGTTCCCATTTCCTTCTTGTTTGCTGATCAAAACTAGTTAACAACCAATCTTCAATAAATTGTCAGTTTCTTCTTTGTTGCTCATCCAAAATGTTGACTCAACTATGGACTCATGCCAGTTATCTTTTTGAGTTCAAACCCATCATAAAGTGAGAAATATCAATATAACAACAACACTTTATGATGAAATCTGATCATATGCAACAAACAACAACTCTAGTTAAATTAACAAACACTCTACAAATAAATACCCAAAGAGAGCCCTAATTGTTCATGATGTTCATATATAACAAAACAACATTTTTTGTAACTACAAGAAAATTAAGGAAAAACTTAAATGCCTCTAATACTTTTATACCATTAGCACATATGCAACAACATTTCAACGCCATTAACACATAAAGAATATAACAAAATCAATATTTTTGTCAATTCCACCATTACTTTTATACATTGCTACATACTAACGGAAAATGTTCACTCAAAAGTCCAAATATCAAAGGCCTAGTGTTAGTATAATGAACTTCTGAGATTATGAAATGCATTGATCAAATTGATAAAATATTAATATGGGGTTCCACTGAACCAACAATTCTAAAATTATGTTGACAACAATTAAGTATAAGATTGAGAGAAAAAACAGTACAGGGGTGGTGAACGAGTCATCTGGTGATTGAAAAACAGTCATAAAGCTTCCCTTTTTCAGGCTTGGCTTCACCTTTTCAGACAATATCGATCCTTTTTATGCCTATTTTAATCAATAGGCATTCGGGTTACCTAAGTGACATCGTTCTGATTTCTACTTACGCCCATTCGTCTCGTTAGTCTTCAACTCTTTGGTAATAACCAAACTAGGGAAAATTCGAGAAAAATGATGCCCCTATAACCGGAAATACTCAAATACCTCATTCTCTCACCCTCCTCGTAGTTCTCAATCTCTTCGACTTCTTCATAAGGCGTGCATTTTTTTCGATCAAAAATTGTTGCCATTTGAGATATACCTAGAAGAGTTAAACATAATATGTTGCCCTGTGTTGTATTGTTGCCCTGGGCAACGACCCAACTCGCACTACCCTTGGGCCGACCCTGCTTGGTTATAATATATTTTCGTAAAATTCCGATCATGTTTTCCCTATAATTATGATGAGTGGCTTTGTTTCAACCTAATATGTGAAAATATTCAACGACAATCACTAAGAACTTCACCTGCTTGGGTGCTTCATAGTATTCATGTGGGTTCTTTAGATGGGGGTGAGCATTTGATGTTCAATATATTTCTTTGTTGTATATGTTGCATCATAATATATCTTTTGTCAGTAGAGCCCAAGATGTATGACTTTTCTTGTCAATGCTTAAGCACCTTTATATCCCCCATCCATCCACATGTGGGTTTCGCGGATGACGTATTTAGATTTTTTTTTTCTTATTCATGAAGGGTAATTGATAACCTACCCCTTGGTGGGGGACGAGGGACGCTGTTTCACTCTCTAGCAAGGAGTGTCTGTGACTGTTGGTGCGACCGGGTACTCTCCAAACAACAGCTGGCGAACGAAGCCCTATGCCCACAAGCGACTTCCTCACCATGGCTAGCCGGCCCAAGTCACCATTCTCCAACAGACATTTCCGCCTCACGGAAAAAGGCAACAACTCTAAGCAACAAAGGCAATGCTTAGATAATTACTACTTAAACCAATCACAAGCTCTGACATGACAAAGAGCTTGATCTTCCAATCATATTTCCTGATCTTTGTCGGGTGTGAAGCCTTTTTTCCTCCATATGAATTATCGGTGAGACCTCAGTGTAAAATGTCTTCCATGTCCAACGAGTTAGTAAGCTATTTCTAACTTATACTCTCTAAACAACCACTATCTCAAGTCACTAACTTAACCTCCAGATCCCCTCCCGGAGATCGACTGATGGATTGTTTTCTGTTGTGATCTTCCAGATCTTCGTCGCAGCTACCGTCATCAGAGTTCGATCCAAATATCTGAGACATATCATTTGGCTCCATCCAGTGTGTGAAAAATGATACGAAAAACCACACATCAAACCATCTCTCAAATGACGAATGAAACCACCGAAAATGGTATTGAAGCACTTAGGAGACCTATATGTTCAATGTCATCATTAGAACCTATTCTCACTTCGGTGACACCATCAGCGCTAGCTCGAACAACCAAAGACACCATATATTCAACCCACATTCAAATAGAGTCACTACACCGATAAGCGATATGTAGTAACCGATGATATCCATCTTTACAACACCTCTCCTAAATTTCTTGTGAAAGCCACAAAGACCAATCCAAACCCTTAGTATGATGA